CTAGGTCATCCTGACACCAGTCACTTCACCCTAATCGTGGGCGTTTATAGAGATCTGCAAGCTTGCACTCTAATTTAGCATGCAAACACATGCACGTATGTGCACACTGTGTGGTCTCTGGTTCTATAGGCAGAAAGACAGCCCCCTTATTAATGAAGGCTAAAAAAATCAAATCACTCAGAAGTACTCTGAAAATATAAAAAAACATGTAACCCCAAGATTGTTCTAATTGCTCAGATTGTTTCGTTTCACTTTTAACAAAATTTTGACAGTGTACTTTTAAAATACCATTTTAATACAAGGTTTGGAAAAAAGCAATCCTGGGGGAGCTTCTCCAGGCAGTGGGAAGGTAAGTTAGCTTCTTTGAAAATGGGCCCAGTTTAGTTTATAGGACAAGTGTGGAATAGAGTGCACAACACCAGAGCTACAGCCAGCAGACCTCTCACCTGGCATATCTGTCACTAAGGGATTATATGTGACCTTGAGTTGTCAAAACCTCCCTGTAAAAGAGGAGTCTGCCCTAGATGACTGCTGAGGTCACTTCTCTGTTTTGTAAACATGGCAGAATTCTGGGAGAGGCTGAGCACCTGCCAGCTGGTGGACACTCACTAATACCACTACTGTTCTGTGTCGCTGCTGGAGAAGGAAGTCCATGAGCTGCAGAGAGGAGAATAAAGAGAGCGAGGGTGTGATGGTGGTGCTCACCTCCAGACACCCACAAAGCTGAATCCAAATCCAACAAGGGTCTTCACCCTTCACCCTCTCTCTGTTTGAAATGAAGATACCTGCCTACGTATTCATTCAACATAGCTCCTGTCTCTGTCCTTGCTTGGGTTTGTGAGCACCAGGATATGGAAACCCTTGGCCTCTTTGTGCTTATTGAAAAAGCAATTGACGGGGTGGTAGATGAGGGTAAATGGGATCAAATACATGGAGATGGAAGGAAACTGAGTCTGGGTGGTGAACACACAATGTGATATATAGATGATGTATTACAGATTGTATACCTGAAATCTATGTTACTTTACTAACCATTGTCACCCCAATAAACTTTAATAAAAAAAACAAACAAAAAGCAATTGAGTCTTGAAGACAAACATGACTAAAGCTGAACTCAGTCTGTAGAAGATGAAAATGGAAGAAAAAGCTATGAAAGTACAGCTTTTACATCCACATAAGGCGGTATCTGGATGAAGGGAGGGAATCTCTTCCATTTAAAATACAGGAAATTTCTTTTCCAGAAGCTCCTAGAAGCCCTCCCCTTGCATGTCATTAGCCTGAATCAGAGAACAAACCCATTCCTGAATAACCACTGAGTCTGGGGATTGGACTACTTTTAGACCTATCAGGCCCACTTGTGGCCCTGGGGGTGGGGTCAGCCTTCCTTGAAACACACAGGCTGTGTGGGATGAATATAACTTCATAAAATAGAGAAAAATATCTTGATGAAAATCAGAGAACTGTCAGGAAGAGAAAAAAGAAAAATGGATGTTGGGCTGGTAACCAAAAATGTCTAAAATAACCAAAAATGTGATTTTCTTAAGAATGCCTTTCAGAAAGATTTATCTGGTGCTTCTTTTTCTACTGGGCACTAACAGTACTAATAAGAATATTGAAGGGCTGGCCGAGTGGCTCAGTTGGTTAAGAGCTCACTCAAGAGTGTGAGCTCTGAGCAACAACGGTTCGATTCCCGGACTGAGCTGGGCTGCCGCTGAGCTGCCAACAGGTGGCAGGATGGCCAAAAAAAAAAAAGAATATTGATTGTATCTTGCTGTCTGCCAGGTGCTGTGTGTTACAGATATCTTTTCATTTTAATTCTTAAAACCGTGTGGTGAGAGCAGATATTATAAGCCCCATTTTATAAATTAGAAATCCAAGGCTCAATGGACTTCAGTGACAGTGATTTGCCTAAAGACACAGGACTAGTCAAGATGGAGATGAAACTCAAAGTGTGGTCCCTGTGGGTGTGAAGATGTTTAACTGTGTTTAACCGTGACCCATTCTGCTTCTCTCATGTACCTAGCAAGTACTGAACTTCAAACCTCTTTGGTTCTTCCCTGCTACCACCTTTACCTCTATTACCCTTCACCAACCCCCTCCTGTGGCCACAATACCAACTGTCATATCCCCAAGCAGCTACACCTCTGAAACTTGGGACTCTTACTTTTGCCCTTTTTGTTCACACTTTCAGGTATTTTGCTTTTTTCCTTTCCTGCTTCCCCATCAAAGCTCCTCTCCAGTTACCACTCTGGGTCCTTCTTCTCCTGCCTGTCTTCCTAGCCTGTCAGCTCCACCTGCATCTTTTCCTTCTCTAACTTGCTTGAACTTCATAGCAACCATTTCACTTAGGCTCTCATCCACCCCTCCATTTCCTCACACCGGTTGCCCCAGGGCCCTGGCCTTGCTAATCCCCACCCAGGAATTCATCCTACCCCGAATTCCTGCACTAGAAATTCTGTTTTTATTTTTACTTTTTTATACATTTTATTTTTTATTTTTTTGAAATTTTATTGGGGAATAGTGTGTTTTTCCAGGACCCATCAGCTCCAAGTCAGGTCGTTGTCTTCAATCTAGTTGTGGAGGGTACAGCTCCCTGGCCCATGTGGGGATCAAACCGGCAACCTCGAGTTATGGGCCTGCTCTCTAACCACCTGAGCTAACCGGCTGCCCCTGCACTAGAAATTCTTAATGCATTGGGAGAAAGGTCATAATTACTGTTTTTAGCCTCAGTTCGGTCTTTGAGGCTCTTTGTCAATGGTCCCTGGTCTAGAGACTCTCCCCAACATTCTGCAGTCCTTCCCAGCAGACAGATGACGACTGGGCCGACTGAGCCTACTGGGCCGCCTGCTTTACTGAGAAATGGGTCCCTCAGGGGTGAATTCACCATGGAGCAAACGCCCTCCCACCTCTACTCTTACCAGGCAGGAACAGGCTTGACTGAGGAAAGGCCTGAGGCCATGATGATGGGGCATTATTGCTCACTTAGGAACGTGGCACAGAATCTAAGGTGTAGTGAGGGTGGAGTTTCCAGGAGAAATGACAAAAGTAAAAACCAGGAGAACAACTCCTACATTAGGTCACTAACCCTTGCAGGTGGGCTGATGGTAAAAGGTGAGACCTGGGGCCAAAATGGGGCCCTGGGAGAGGTCACAAAACCAGAACAGCCGGAAATGAGGAGAGTGCTGGAAGGGGAGAGGGGTGGAGGCCCTTCTGGAGGCTCACAGAAACTTTGAAAGCAGAGATGGGGAGCCTGCGACATTTTCCAGGGCCCGGGCTTGGGCGGACAGGTTCAGAGCAGGAGCCCCAAATAGACGCAGGCATTCTCTCCCTCAGGCCCATCCTGGATTTTCCTCAGTATTTCCCTTCCCTGCTCCTGATTTTCTCAGTCTTCCAATGCTCCCTCCCTCCCTGCGTCTTCATTCTTTTTCTTTCACAAACCTGTTCAGACCCTATACTAGTCACTTCTTCAACATAATGATTTGCCAACTTTCAACAAGAGGCAGAATTGGTTCTGAGGAGCCAGATGACACAAAACCTTTTCAGAATGCCCAAAAGTCTCTTGGCCATATTGCTGACTTTTTCTTTTTTTGATCACAATTCCAGCAAGCTTGAGTATCTATCTGCTTTCCTGCTCCCAGGAGACTACAGTCTGTAGGTGAGAGGAATGGTGCTGCTGGCGGCAGGCACACTTCTCACAAGAGGTAAGAGCGGAAGAGACAGAATTCCAAACAGACACAAGAGCTCAGAAGTTTCAAAAGGCTGACAACACTGTTGCTGAAAGCAAATCATTCTACCGCCTCAGTAGCAGCTAGAAGCTTAAAATAACTGATGATCTTTATGATGCTGCTTAAGCACGAAGTGGGGATTAAATTATGTTTCGTGTACTGTGTTGGAAAACTTTGGGAGGGCTGAAGTGCATGTTGGGATTAATAAAATGCAGCAGATGGTATAAGTGCCCTGCTCACATCTCTCAGGCCTCACTGAGTCCTTCTCTGGCTGACGTCCAACTCTCCATATCTGCACTGAGGGTTTTTCTGAAACCAAAGGCCACTTTCCTGAATGTGGTCCTGCTCGAAGGTCCAAAAGTTTCAAGGAATTAATACTCCCACCCCTTGGAGCAGCGCTCCACCAATAACCCTGAGATATTGGTGTAGAAATACATCAGCTCTCTTGCCCGTTGAGGGGGCTCATTTACACAGTCTCCCAGAGTTTTCCCACTGGGTGAAGCTCCAGTCATCCTTGGTGGTAACTAGGTTTTGGTGGCTGCTGTCCCAGCCTGTGTCATTTTACCACTTTCCTAGAGGTATTCCCTGTACTTCCCAGATAGACTATTAATATTTGTACTTACATCCTGTCTCAGGATCTGCTTCTGGAAAAATCTACACTGACGTACCAAAGTAAGCTTCAACTATGTAAACATTTATGTATTTGGAACAAGGCTTTTCCTCGTGTTGCGCAAAATGAGGTGTTCATAAAAAAACAAAATGCTTTTCCTACCACCCACCTTTTCCCTGGCCATGCTTTCTCTCTCAAAATATACAGAGGGTGCCAAAAAAATGTATACACATTTTAAGAAAGGAAAAAACCTATTAAAATTGTAATACTCAATATATACTGCTAACAAAAGATGAATACAAGTCATGTTTGACTTCTGCGATTACAAGAGGTGCTCAAAGTGGTTACCATCAGTGTCCAGACACTTCTGATTATGGCGAACTACTGCTTGAGCATAGATAACATCTCTTAAAATGTGTATACATTTTTTTTTGGCACCCCCAGTATAAATAATCCCCCTTTCTCACTCTGCCTTCCAGCAAGTCAGCTCATAAATTACTTAGGGACAACCAACCAGGCATTTTCCTTTGAATTCTACCAGACCCCAGAATTGAAGAGTCTTAAAAAAAAAACAACCAGGCCCACAGCATTCACTGTCTCCTAAAGTTTAACAAAATGGCCTAAAACTCTCGCTCCTTTGACAAGAAAGGCTGAGCAAACCTTACCAGGGCAGAGCTTTCTCCTCTTGGCGGTTTGGATCTTGGTTTTCAGGTGTCTGCTGGATGCTGGATGGAGATAGGAGCCCCTGAGGATCTGGCGGCTGAGCTGGGGGCTGCCCCGGCCCCTCTGGGGAAGTTGGGCAGCAGGAGGCTGCTGTGGCTGAGCACCCTTTGGGCCCAGGCCCACCGCACTCCTCAGGGCAGTGCGGAAGCCTCTAGTGGCCCTTTTGTCCCTTCTTGGGATGAGCAGCTGAGTGAATACCATAGTCACTATCCTCGAAAGAGGCGTGGGCATCTGCTGTGCTGTGAACCCCTTTTTCCTCTCAGGGAGGCAGCCACAGCTGTCAGCAGAGCAGGCAAAGTCTTCCTGGCGTTTCTCAAACTTGCTTGGTTATAAGAACCACCTGGTGCCCTTGCTAAGCATACAGATGCCAGCTCCAGAATTCCCGAATCAGCATCTCCAGAGAGGCCTGGGGACGGCTGTTTCACAAGCCCCCAGTGATTCTTATGAGCTGGCACATTAGGGAAATGACGGAACGAGGAGAGAGGCAGGAGCATTTTAAAGCAGACAGAACTCAGCTGGCCAGGAATGTCCCCTCATGCTAATACCTCTCACATCCAGAATGCATCAAAGGGAAGTCATTCCTAGCAGGGGGGCCTGCCAAGGCCTGCGATGGTTCTGAGAGCCCAAAGAGCCTCTAGTCCAAATAAGACTTCTTAAAATAACCCTCATAGCCCAGGCTGATCTTTCATGTGACACTTCTTCTTAGGTTTGCTGTAGAACAATGATTCCCAGCTGACTGGGGAGTGGGAGAAAGGAGGGAGAGGAACAGTGTATTGGAGACTTAGAAAGGTACAGTGGACGAAAATATTCTCTATTAGAAATTGCCTTGATTTGTGTTTAGTCAAAGGTAATTTATTTTGAAATTTCTGAAATGTTAAAAGGGTGTGAGATTTTAATGTTTTTCAAAATGGGATATGACTGTAAAATGTTTGCGGTTGCCTGGAATAAACCAAGAACTACAGGGCAGGCTGGCTGGGGACGGCTCACCCTCCCTGGACTCTGCCGGATTCTCCCCTCTGCCATCTTTCCACAACTCAGATCCCATCAAATCAATACCTGCTTGAAGTCATTGACGGGTTCACTGCTGCTCACGAGATAAAATCAAACTACTATAAACATGATCTTCAAGACTCCTCTTTATCTTGTCCCACTCTGATTTTTCAAATTTATCTCCTGACTTTGCTCACCACCTACACTTATTTCTTGCAACATCAGGCTACTGGAGTTCTCTGAGCACCTCAGGTACAGTCCCACCTCTGAACCTCTCTGCTCGTGCTACGCCTTTGCTCCATTTTTCTCTCCGAAGAGCTCCAACTCATCCTGCCGGTGCCTTTCCATTAAGTCCCTCTCACCTGCCTGGCACAGTGAATTGCTTCTAAAATCAGATAGGTTGTTGAAGGAGAAGTCAGTGTGGTCTCAGGGAGGGGCAGTGGGGTCGAGAGTCAGCCGTACACTGGCCCCGTTCTGCCCCAGGACAGGCACTGTTGGTCAGAGCATCTTTTCCTCTTTCTCCCTTCCTTCCTTCCTTCCTTCCTTTTTTCCTATTGTGGCAAAATATACAAATCATAAAACTTACCATTTTAAATGTATATAGTTCAGTGGCATTAAGTATATTCACACTGTTGTGCCACTATCACCACCATCCATCCACAAAACTTTTTCATCTTGCAAAACTGAAACTCAGTACCCATTAAACAGTAACCCCCTCAACCCATCCCCACCCCACCCCAGCCCCTGACAATCACTGTTCTGTTTACTTTCTGTTTCCATGTATTTGACTACTCTAGGTACCTCATATAAGTGGAATCATATAGTATGTGTTCTTTTGTGTTTGGCTTATCTCACTGAGCATAACATTTTCAAGGTTCATCCATGTTGTAGCATGTGTCAAATTTCACCCCTTTTTTTATGTTGAATATTATTCCATTGTATATATATACATGCCACATTTTGTTTATCCATTCATCCATTGATGGACATTTGATTGTGTCCACCTTCTGGATATTGTGAATAATGTGGCTATGAAATGGAATTACAAATATCTGTTTGAGTCCCTGCTTTCAATTTTTGGGGGTATTGAAATTCCACCTGTGAGTGGCTGGATAATATGGTAATTCAGTGCTTGCTTTCTTCAGGAACCACCATACTGTTTTCCATAGCCACTATACATTCCCACCAACAGTGCACAAGGGTTTCAATTTCTCTACATCCCTACATTTTTATTTTGTTATTTTATTTGTTATTTTAAATAGCATTTGTTATTTTCTCTTTTTTTTTTTTTGAAAATAGCTATTCTAATGGGTAATTTTGGTTTGAATTTTCCTAATGATTAGTGATGTCAAGTCTTTCTTTTTTGAAAGCATACATTTAATTGAGGAATAACTTATAAACAATGGAGTGCACCCATGTTAAGTGTATACAGTTCAATGGATTTTGACAAATGTATACACCGGTGTGACCACTACTACAATCAAAATACATATTTCTAACACCCCCCCCGACCCCTGAGCCTTTACAGTCAATTGTCCCCCTCTTACTGTCAACTCCAGGTAACCTCTGATCTGCTTTTCATTAGCATAGTTTGCATTTTCTAGATTTCCCTATAAATGGAATCATACAATATGTACTCTTTTGTATCTGGCTTCTTTCACTCAGCATAATAGGAGATTAATCCATGTTGTTCCTTTGTATTTGTTTATTGCTTTTTATTGTGAAGTAATATTCCATCGTATGAATACCACATTATTTATCCATTCATCTACTGATAGACATTTGGATTATTTCCAGTCTTAAGGCTGTTAGGAACACAAGCTACTGTAAATATTCTTTAACAAGTCTCTGTGTGGAATACGCTTTTCTTTTTCTTTTTTCTTTTTTTTTTTTTTTAAGATTTTTATTGGGGAATTGGGGGATGGGAACAGCACTGGGGAATTGGGGGAAGGGGAACAGACAA